TATTTTCAACTTTCCCGACCCCCTATTTCACATTGGGGACGAAACACGGTATTCGCTCTTCTCCGGGGAAAGCGGCGAACGTCCGCCGCTCTGGTCCCGGGGCATTCTGCTTGCAGAGAATGTGTTTGTTTTTGTATCTAAGGGGGCTGCCTTTTGCTAGCCCAGTCCTTGGTTTTTAGGCTGGTTTTGGGGCTGATCAACCGTATTACTTACATCTTTGCTTGTGCCTAAACTGAGATTAATGAAAAGATCTGAATGAATATCACCATGGAAGCATAGCATCCTCCAGCATTTGGAATGGCCACCCTACAAATACTGAAACCACCAACTGCTGCGAAACTGATTTTGTCCATCCATAGGTTGAAGGGTTGAACGCTTTGTTGGCCTGCCGGATAGCGAGTCTGTCCGTTCTCAGGATATTCTGCTGCTCAACGGGCTGAGCCAAGCCGAGGACGGGACGTTGACTTTAGGCCTCAAGCCGACCTTTGACCTTTCCGGTCTTATGTTTAGTCAAGGTTCCAAAGTGATCGACTTTGATTTTCAGGTCCTTGAACAGGTGAAGGTCTTGGGGCTGAATTAGAGTAAGGCTTCTATAAACCCGAACCCCAGAATCAGAAAGTGTGCGAGTAGGGCGCGCGAGTGTTCGAGTCACTCGTCCACTCGTCCGCTCACTCGCCCGTTCCACTCGCACACTCGCACAGTCCACTCGCGCACTCGCACAGTCCACTCGCGCACTCGCACGCAACTCTCGCACACTCGCACGCAGCGTACTCGGAGGGTACTCGCGCAGGAAACATCATAATTGTATTTTGCAACCTCTTGGTTCCAGCTAAATCATGCTGCTTTGATGTGGTGTAGATATGTTGTGATGCTGCTTTGAAACACATCAGACGACTAACTAAACCATATTGCTATGATAAGTTGTTGCAATGCTTTTATGATGCTTCGCTGTAATATGATATCATGCTGCTTTATATACAGCTGGTATGGTAACTAAACAGAGACATAGGTACCAGGACATGGATGCAGCTTCAGTCTGGGTCTTGTCATATTGTGCACTCTTACAGGTTTGAGTGGGACACCCTCGCTTCTTCCAAGTGGAGACCCTTCTTCAAAAACTGTGTGTTTCTGCCAGGTCCCATGTCACTTTTGTTTGCCCGTCCGTGCCTTCCGAAGAACACGGGTATCTTCAAATGAGGGAACATCAGAACATCTATTTGGTTTCCCTTGAAACCAACGCCACAACGGATGCCAACTTGCAACAAGACACACACTTGAACATCCACTGCAAATATCCAGCAAGTGAAGCTAATGGATTCTCACCTTCCATGTTGCTGGACTTTGTACTTGTTTTGGGACCGGTTTTTGAGCAGATTGAACTTCTTGTTCTGCCTATCCACTCGGAAGTGAGGATATGGGGGGGGGGCGCCTTGAGCCGCAAATCTGGAGCATCGCCAGCAGCCTTGCCAGGCGCGGATGGAGCTGGTGTCCTTCGCGCAAGGGAAGCCCAGCAATCCGAAACCCCAACTCGTGCTTGGACTTTGGGCGCGATCTTCTTTTTCCTGTGGCCAGCTGGGAACCGGATGAACCACCCAACTACTTTGCCGCGTTTTGGCACTTGGAGGCAATGCCCTTTTTGGATCGATTTCCCCTGTTGAGGGTGTTGAGATGAGACCGGCGGACAGGGAACAAGTAGCCATGTTCAAAGGAGTGTGGCCAATTGGGACTGTAGTGTATGTTTTTCATAGTATATATCTATATGTTATACAAATTCATATATATATATATATATTTGTTTGTTTTGATCTATTTACTTGAATACATTCCAAGAACCCTCCAACATACCTACCACTTGAGTGTGCCCTCGAACCCCTGATGCGGAACAGGACCCAAGGGACCCTAAAAGGAAACCACCAGTTGGATGGTTTAAATCGGCGTCATTCCCCCCGCGTAGCACTGGTATTGCTCACGTGCCGTGGAGTCTGGCTTTTGGGGGTGATTCCATGTCTCAGTCCCTGCTGGAGCACAGCAAATTGTCCAAAGTTGGCACCTCCACAAGTGGCAGCGTTAGTGGAAACCAAGTAAGTTGATCAACTGATCCCTGAGAGAGCAAGCTACTGACAGCAGTGGCCATGGTCGCCTTGCTGCTTGGCTGCTGAGGTTGCTGCCTGCGGCCCTGGAAGCGCTGGCACAGGCCGGAGAGGGAGGGGGGAGGGGGGGGGTGCGACTTTCATATACAATTTTCGGTTGGTGAAATCGAAGAGTAGACAAATGTCCCCCCAACACACTGAGGGATTGGCTGAGTTCAACCAATTCAACCAGAAAGACTCGTGTTCAACCAAACAGCTACAGGATATTGATCCGACCAAAGCGAAGTCAAGCTCTGGCATTGTATCTTTGGAAGCCATGTGGCCAAAACAAATCGGAAAAGGAACCCACCACCGAACGCCTCGTGATACCTTCCCTACCTCAAGTGCACTCCTCCCCCCGCTGTCAAGGACACATTTGGGGATTTCACCTTTTGGGTTGAACTGCTGGGTTTTGCCGAACAGGAAAACTAGTAATTCCGGCTTTCACAAGCCTGGAAAGAAATGAGTCCAGCTCCACCCAAATGGTACCATTGTTTCGTCACATGCAGCGCAGGACCCATTAAAAAGCTCAAGTGATATCCCCAACAGCATGCCTCCCCACAACTCGGAACCGCCCCCCCGGATACTGGTGCCCTAATGTGTGCATGTACAAAGTTAGCCTCCCACCCATTTACATGGAACCTGACCCGGGGGGTGTTGGAAGACTATGTTCCTTTCAAAGGGACCCCCTGTCAGGTTCCATGTTAATGGGGGAGGGTAGATGGCTGTGGGTCAAAAATAGGGTAACCCCAAAATGAAACCCTGGCACAGTAGATGGAACCAAGGACTAAAACCTGCGGTCCCGTAAACCCCTGGCGGTTTCATTTTGACCTACACCCGACTTTTGGTTGGATCCTGCGGCTCTTGAGCCCTCGAGGCCTTCCAGCGCTTCGAGCTCTTTCGAGAGGGCTGGTGCCTGCCTCATTCGAGAGGGGTGTTATGTTCGGTGGTCTGGTCTCATTCGGGGTGGTCCTTTTTGGGGGTTTCGATCCCAAAACGGGGGGGGGCACTTTCCTTTGGGCTATCCTTTTCCGCAAAAAATGAGCCGTGAAAAAAAAAGACAACGCGCCGCATTGAGCTCCGATTTGACATTGAGGCCACGAAATGTCGACTTCGGATTCCAGCGGGGCATCCCCCCGATATTGACATGGTTCCCCACAATGGAGAAGTTGATGAGAAGTACGGTCCTCTACGTGCCTTTGTTTTCATGGGAAGCTGACACAGCATTGTTCAGATTTGGTGGACGGAATTGGGCCACGGGGGCCAGCCAGTGATTTCTGATTTGCGCTGAAAGGAACCACAAGGGGCTTGATGATGGTCCAATTTTGGCAAAGATCCGTTTTTACCCCGAACCAAGGGAGCCTCCAAATGATAGGCAAGATGAAACAGGCAGAGGCCCTTGGTTTTGATCACATGCCCGGAAGTCCTCTGAAGTGACGCACTAAATCGAATGTTTCATGTACAGGGCCTAGCTCTCATAACGGTTCCTCAGCAACGTGCCATCAATGCAGTCAATGTGACAAAGTCACGGAACATTTCATCCCACTTTGCTTTCACGGAAAGATGCAACTTTTCCAAAGCCAGGCCAAAAAAGGCAGGGCTAAAGGCGGCCCCGGCTATGGCGCCACACCGTTGACACGGTTCTGGGGTAGGGTAGGGTAGGGTAGGTAGCGGTAGGTAGCGGTAGGTAGCGGTAGGTAGCGGTAGGTAGCGGTAGGTAGCGGTAGGTAGCGGTAGGTAGCGGTAGGTAGCGGTAAGGAGCCAGGGTTCCCGTGCTTGGATTATCTCAAGGAAGACATACGCGGGATGCTCCCGTTGTGTACACCATCCCTACTTTAAAGTTGCCTTGAGTTTTATTCAGAAAATATGGAAGCGAATTCCCCCCCTTGTTCATTCCAGACCATGGTCAAGTGTCGGTTTTAGGCATCCAGGAATTGGAATCCCTCGCAGGTGCTTTGTTTTTTCCACTACATGTTCAAAAAGAAGCGATGGGTGAGAAGGAATGGGCGGTCAGTTGGTTATGACTCTCCACTCTTCCTGTAGGGCTGCGGGTCACTTTAAGCCACGTTTCGTCATGATTGCAGGAGTCTCTTAGTAGTTGGTTGGCCTTTTGTATTACTCATTTTAACAAGTGCAGGTTCACAATCCCGAGGCAAGCTGAGCGCTACGCCATCCTCACAGACTTTGAAGGCTTCCTTCTCGGGCTCCGTGGCAAACCCCTTGGGCTTGAGGCTGCCACTTGTGGTAGCAGGGGCGACCCTTGAAAGTGACGAAGTAGTCTTGGCAATCATGATGAGGGTCCACAGGCAATCCCTTCCTAACTGATGCATTTAGTTGGCAGGAAACGCATGCATACATGTTGCATGGGTTGCCTGGGTTTAGCACAGTGACTTTATCGGCACTTGTGTGATGCAAGAGGTTCTGCTGCAGCAAATAACCAGGTATTGAACGTTTTGGCTCAAGTACACCGATTTGGGCATCTTTTCGTTGAGGGCAGCTTTTGTTCACCTTGGTGCAGAGCTCGTTTCGGTTTCCGAATTTGGTTCGGCAATTTCGCATGGCTTGAATAGAGCGAGACAATCCTGCCATTCCAAAGGCCTGCGCAGGTTTTTGCGTTGCTTCTTGCGGATACCGTGTGCTGAGTCGTTGACAAGTATGCAGACAAGATCAGACGCCATTTTCGAGGGAAACAAGGGAGAGCGTGGGTGAAGTATTTTGGCCAGCCTGCTTACTTGGTGCCCACTCCACGTACATATGTAGTATTTGGATACGCGCATGTGCACTGTAGAGCTGGACAGATCAGATCGCCAGTGACTTTGCTGGCAATTCTGGCAGCGGGCGCACGCTTGCAAGAGGCTGCCCTTGGGCGTCATGGAATTGGCGCCCATTGTTCCCCACTAGAAACGCAAGCAGGACAGCCTCGCTGCCGACTTTGCGCTTGCAGATGAGTTGTTTTTTTTCTGGTGCCGCCCAAGTCCGCAGGTACATCTATCCGTTATGCCCTGCTTTACGCATGCATGATGTACTCCGCCTTTGCAAAAGGGGCTAAAGAATTGCCGCACACCCGAGTCTCTCATGACGATGGCTTGATTTGATTTCAAAGGCCTCATGCAACTCCAGTCTTGCGGACACTACGATATCCCAGAGTAGTTAGAAGTGGGCAAGCCCTTTTGTAACCAAAAACACCATGACAGGTAAATTTGTGTTGTTCAACGGAAAACCACTACTTGCCTATCTAAGTCTTGCTTGCCTCGGGCCGCGCTCTGCTTTTTTTTTCTGTGCAGGATTGTCCCAACCTCTAAACAGATGACAAAGCAGCAAGGTTAGAAACTTTGTGTGATGTGTTTTCCCATTTTCACTCGGGACCAAGTCTCGACTCGTGAAGAGCCTTTGGTACCTTAAAGTGTTCGGCGTCCTCAGTCCTCCCTAGGAGTTTTGTTTGGCAGACCTGAGTGATGCCATTTCCCAGTAGCTAGCCAAGGGTAAACAAACAACCCTTTCAACACAGGAAACATGTTTGGTTGCCTACCATTCTACCTCCCCCCCCTCCCCCCATTTTTTCCTTCGTTTCATAAGAATTTCAGACGTGCTTTCTCAGGGCAGATAGGTGAAAATGGTTGGGATCAACCTCTAGAACCATAGTGTGCCGTAATATCAGTGATTCCCAAAACGATATTTGACCCTTGGGTTAAGGGGAAGCCAAAGGGACACCCTTGCCATGTTTTAGGGACTTCCAACATAGAGAACACCGCCCCCCACCCCCCGCGCCCCCCCCGCCCCCCAGCGCTCTGTGAGTTTCGGCCAGGTGAAGAGAACGCTATGTACACCTCGCTCCGGGAAGCGCAGAAGGCCGACGCCTTCCCAACTTTTTCGCAGACGTTGGCAGAGCGTTCCATGGCTTCCAGTTCTGGATTTGTTCCGGGGCGGAATGTGGTAGGCTGGCATTGTTTTGGTAGCCCGGTTGTTCAGTAGCATAATCCTGTACCGACTTTCAAGTTGGTTTGCCATCTAGAAATAATGCTTGATAAGGTGCTTGCTTTCTTCCGTTGCGCGTTGTTGAATCCTGATGTCCTTCCAAGGGGCCAGACCCCGCTTCTACCGACAAACATCAGGGAAACTGAGTTTCCCACTACTTCAGACTGCAGATGGATTTCTCCGCCCGCACCTGAACCTCCAGTCCCCCAAAAGGGCTGTAAAAAAAATGACACTAACATAGCCCAAAGGAGGGCATGTCAGAAACCGTTTGATGGCCATTGGGGAGTTCTACAAACAAACAAAGCAAACAAACAGCAAGTCAAACCAACCAAAAAAACAATCAAACACACAAACAAGCAAATAATCAAACAAACAAAACTACAAGCCAGCAAGCAATCTAGCAGACTGGCCGGCGACTTGTGGTGTCACTTCTTACAAGGCCTTCCAGAGCCCCTCGGCGGCAGTGGCCGCAGCGCTGGCCAACGGCGAGGCGGAGTGGGGCAAAATTCCAGTGGACTTTGTGTTTTTCGTTTTGGAGGGGTGCCGGACAGTTAAAATCAACCAAAGAAATCCGAGGTGAAGCAAACTTGTTTGGAGAAGGCTAAGACTAATTCCTTTCGGGGTTTTGAGTAGAGTGAACAGAATGTTACCTTTTTCCCGTAAAGATGGACCATTGGAGACAGTTCGGGGAACTCCAAACTTCAGGGTCCATTTGGTTTGTGGAAACGAACCCCCAAGGGACACCATCAACGACAGGCACGCCAAGTCTGCCAAAGACTGCTGTCAGCCCTTCTCGGTCCTCACCCCGAAAAGAGGCGGCTCGAAATGGCGCTCAGCTCCCCAAGAAGGCTGAAACCTACGCCTGCTAGTTGGCAAGCCCAAAACAGGGGGTCACTCAAACTGAGATTATGTACCTGACTGGTTTCTAGTTTCACGTTAGTTTGCATGAGAGAAACGGGAAAAAGGGTAGCAACAAGAACAGCGCGGGAGACAAGGGAGCGCCGTGGCTGAAGTAATTTGGCCAGCCTGCTTACTTGCTGACCACTCCACCTAGTAAATCAGTAGTATCTGGTTATTGTCCCCGGGTCAACTTGTTAACAAGCCACGTACTGGGGCGGTCCACGTACTGGAGCAATCCATGGCCTCGGCGGTTTCGAGCGACGTGGATGCAGGCCAGCCAGCTTCTGCGATACCTCATCGCAAGTGGCTACAGCAGCCAGCAGGCGCCTGTTGCTAATATGGCTGTGGGTCAAAACATAGGTATGCTTGGCAAGTGGAAACATGGACCAAAACCTGTGGTTCCCTAGTTGATTAATTTTGACCCATACCCATATTAGCGGTGCTCAGAACGTGGACCCCGTCCAAGCGATAGTTTTCCTTGCCATAAACACACCCT